TAGAAGAGTGGGAATAAGCATGCCACAGGTGGCATCCAGTAAAGGATGTTGCTTATTAGTTTGTGTGTTCTGGGCTTTGGATTGTTGATGGTTATGGTAATTCACAGCCTACCCAATCCAAATATATGTATCTCAAGTTTGCATATACAATTTACTTATGTTTAGAGACTCACTTGCCTACAGAGGCCATGCAGTTATCCTTAATAAATAGGATAGCTATTGTGTCAGAAAGAAAATAGAAAGTGAAGAAGACAGTAATGAATCAAGTGTATAATTCCATAGAGAGCTGCCAGTTACTACTCAGCTCCAGCTAATTGTTCCATGAGGAAATACAAGCCTGAATATGTGAAATGTTCTGAATTTTTAAAAAAGAAGATCAAAATCTGTAGTTTTATGTGGCTTAAGTGTACTTATGACACTGTAGGACCAGCATTTTGTGAATGTAACCTTTTACAATCATAAGAAAATGGAGTGAAATTTTACAAAGATTACTCTGTTCAGTTAGAGATATTAAAATTAAATTATGAAATTGCATTTACTCAGTAGCATAGGCATGCATTTATTTACAAAAAATAAATACTATGCAGTGGAATTTGTTATTCATTGCCAATTCATGTGTCTATCATGGAATATTTGGAAAATATTTGCCATACTTATTTTGTATTTCTCCTGAATAATTTTTCCCTATAGACTTTTTGTAAGGGCAAGCCAGGAGGCTTAAGCCTTAGAAAGATGGATGTACCAATTAAAGCAATAAAATCATTACTAAATTTTGACTGTCAAATTAGTTATTAAAGCCACTAAGAATTTCTGAGTCTTTTGTTAGACAATTATTCCGGAAAGCTTGGCATTACTGAGAGAAAAGAGGATTTTCTAAATTCCTTAAGCTCCATTAACATATCAAGAGCCAGTTCTGACAGAGTCAAGCTTGAACAGCCAGTTTTATTCTCAGCCAGGTAGAGAACTGAGGTTATGATGTACTAGAAATTCCTCCTGCCAAACTAGAATGCAGAAACTTGTCTAAGTTGGATGCAAAAAAATTCTGAGAGAAAATTTTAATGAAGGAAAACAGGTGCTGGTATGTAATTTTTCCCTCAAAGAGAATCCTCAAGGTGGTCTCTGAGAGAAATATCTTGATTAAGATGGAGGAACCCGGAAAAAAACAAAACTCTTCTTCAATAACATCACATTATTTTGGTACCGTATCCAGCATGACAAGCATTTGCTAATACATATGAACTTGAAGCAAATGATCAAAGAGTAGCTGTCCTGTTTCTTCATAGCCTGCACACATAGGGTTTCTATGTAGAAGAAGTGTAGAATGAGCAGAAGATTAACATCTTGTGGTCCAAATAAAAACCTCATGGTATACAAGGCCCATGAACAGAAGCTAATGGCCATGATCTTGAACTTCCGAAGCTGATGTCTATAGGATATCTCTTTTGCTGACTGGTTCCTTGGATAAGTTACTGTGGAATAGGAAAAAAACTCTGAAATACTGAATTTTTACCCATAAAAAATGGAATCAACTGGTTTAAACCTGAAAAGTCAAGGCTATCCTCACTTTTCATTTTAAGTCCTTACTCCTTTCATCACTATTCAACAGGTTAGGAGCTTAAGGGCAAGATTGTATTAGTTGAAAATAAAGTAGCAATTTTCTTGCACACCTTAAGAATTATTTGTTAGTCATTGACCTTACCCCATTTCTACGTAATTGGAGAGCTTCTTAGATAGGGCTAACTCAATTGTCTTTTCTGGGAAATTGAGTTAATTTCCTTTTTATTTTAATTCCTAATGGTCTTATGCTTTGCTGCTATGGCCAACACTGGTCTTACCTCATTCTTATCTGCTATAAGATGTTCATTTCTAAAATCAAGTCATTTACCACCAAATGGGGGGAAAAACCAACCTACAATAGCTCACATTTCAGATTTCAATTGTTGAATCCTCATCAACGTATTTTATAGTTTCAATTGTTCCAGCTCTTTGTCATGATAAACTAAGAATATTTTATTTCTTCAAATAATTCTTAGCTGATCATTGTATAAATCCTCATTTTTCTATCCTTTTTTTCTGTAGTTTGCCTACAAATAACCATAAAATGGGAGGATGAGGGGAACATAAAGTTTTTATTGGTAGTGTGGATAATAATTTCACATATAAGACTGTTTACAAGTCCCTGTTTAGCATTTCCCTTCATTGCGAACTCAAACTAAAAAAATGTTTGGTCCAGAAATATGGACTTTATGGTACTTCCATAATGCCAGGATAAAAGGGCTTGTTTAATAGTAATAACAGATTAGGAAGTTCTTTTGTTGCCATTTCCTGGCAGTGTTCTATAGCTATGCCAACATAACATATGACTAAATTGTGTGTGGGATTGGATGGGAACAGTAAGATACTGAGGATGTTAGGGAAAGGCAGCTCTTCAGTACTAGGATACCATCATGGTAGAGGAAATCTGAGTGGGAAAGAAAAGCAACAAACAAATGGGCTACATTATGATCAGGCAACTTACAGAAAAAGGAAACTGGAATGAACAAAAGCAGATAAAAAAGAAAAACGTTGTGACTGGAGTTGGTATAACCATTGTGGGGTGATGTGGAAAATAATAGTTTGTATGTGCATACACTCTATGGCACAAAGTTTCCGCTACTAAGTATAGTAATATCCTGAAGAAATTCACACACATGGGCAAGGAAATGTGTACAACACTTCTAACTAGTTATTTCTAGGAACAGGGGATTACATTTAAAAATAGTAAAATCACACTATTTAAAGAGTTAATTCTCTCCCTTTCTTGTTTTTGTTTTTTGGAGACTGGATCTCACTCTGTCACCCAGACTGAAGTACAGTGGCGCAATAGCGGCTCACTGGAGCCTCCATCTCCTGAGCTCAAGTGATCCTCCCACTTCAGCCTTCCAAGTGACTGGGACTACAGGTGCATGCCACCACTCTCAGCTAATTTTTGTATTTTATGTAGAGATAAGGTTTCACCGTGTTGCCCAGGCTGGTCTTGCTGGTCTCAAATTCCTGAGCTGAAGTGAGCTACTCACCTCAGCCTCTCAAAGTCCTAGAATTATAAGTGTGTGCCACCAGGCCTGGCCAGAATAAACTCTCTAGATAACTAAATAGATTACTCTCTATAAAGGTATATGTGTGTGTATTTGTGTGTATATGTTACATATATACAACATAAATATATGAAAACCAACATGAATAGCAACTTTTAGAATAATACATAAAGTATATTATGTGATACTATATGTAAGAGTGGTAAATATAATAGACATTATTAATTGATACATATATAGATATATGGAAATGTGAAATAAAAATCATGATAATGACAGCCTCTGTAAAAATAGACAAGAAGATGTGACATGGAGTAAGCCAAATAACACTTTGACTCTATCTGTATCCTTTCCTTACAATAATACTTGAAGCAAATTTGGCAAAATGGTGAAAATTTTTAAAAATTATTGGAGCATAAATGTTAGTTACATCATTTTAACATTTACATTTTAAAAATTTCTAAAAATGACTGATGGAATCAGAAATCCCTCATAATTTTCAGCTTAAAAAATAGATATGGATTACACTATCTTCCAGCTCTTTCTAAGGAAAATGAATCTTAACTTTGTTATAAGATGAACGATAGTATTAAGAATTCTACTTCTTTGCTTTATCTTCCAAAGAAACCTGTTCCTAATTCCTTAGAAAGCATAGTGAAGAAATGAATGTAGGATTTTTGTCTCTGTGCCTCTTTGAAAACTTGGGTGGCTGCTGGCCTTCTCATTGCTAAGTAACTAGCTAAGGCAGCTCCTGCAAAGACAAGGCATGTGCATCCATGTGTTGGTGGCTCTGAGTTGACTTGTCCAACAAGTTGACACAGAATAGCTTGCATAAAGCACTTTGCTCCGATGCTATTACTTTAGAAAAAAATTGCTCCTACTTTCATAATCTCTGAAAACTCATGCAGAATTCATAATACAAAAAGGAATACGTGTAAATTGCTTTTAGATAATGTAAATTTTCATAATTGTGTTCATGTGTCCATGAACTTCACACATCTCTTTAAAATACTTTGTAAGTGAATGGAAGGTGTAAACTCACTTTCTAAGTCTTATGGGGGTGAGAAGAGTGTGTGGCATCTAACAGCTACTTAGGAAAAAAAAAAAAGAGGAACAAGGTAAGAAATTTGTTATGAATAAACATGGACACCAAAGTTAGATCCAGTGCAATTAGCTTCATATTCAGAAAGTGACTTGCATTGTTATTGTTTATAAAACAGTAACACCCAGCCCAGGAAAACATCTTATAAATTTGTGTGAAGTTTCTCCCAAGATATGGATCTCCAAAATCTTAGGCGAAAGAGTGTTTGAAGGATACATTGATGGAAGACAGGCAGAAGAGAAAACAAAAGACATTATATTCAAGTATTTAAGTGACATTCCCCTTTGGGGACTGAGTTTTTATTCTCATGCCATGATTGACTGTCTTCAGATGAGAATCTGGGAACACCAAATGAGAAGCAGGGCACGTGAGGTCCAGGAAATGCACTATTTTTTTTTTAATACTTTAAGTTCTGGGGTATATGTGCAGATGTGCAGGTTTATTACATAGGTATACACATGACATCATGGTTTGCTGTATCCATCACCCTGTCACATTATGTATTCCTCCTAAAGCTACCCCTCTCCTATCCCCCCACCCTCTTCTATCCCTCTCCTAGCCTCTCCCACCCTGGACAGACCCTGGCATGTGATGTTCCCCTGCCTATATCCATGTGTTCTCATTGTTCAACACCCACTTATGAGTGAGAACATGCACTGTTTGGTTTTCTGTTCTCGGGTCAGTTTGCTGAGAATGATGGTTTCCAGCTTTACCCATGTCCCTGCAAAGGACATGAACTCATCCTTTTTTATGGCTGCAAGGTATTCCATGGTGTTTATGTGCCACATTTTCTTTAAAAATTTACTGTTTTTTATACTTTATAGAATTGTGAAAATCTAAGCAAAATGACTTCTTGTGACTCACGTAATTTTGGGCCCAGATGACAAGGATCAGCACTTCCACAGAAATAAGTGACACAAAAAAGGTAAACAAACCTCATTTTTTGACCCTCTGTAAATATCCTGGGGATAATAACACTCAAAAATGCACTTCTTTAACAGTGAGATTTGTATTTTCCCATTCGCATTGCGACATAACCATGGTATGAGATCAAATGTCTCCAGAGATCTGAGCATTCACCAAGTCAAATTTCACAACCCTGTTAATTTCTTCATTTTCACATTTTAATCAACATCACACTTAGAAGGAAAAAATATACAGTTACCATTATCATCTGAATATCACTTTATTTTCTCTTTTATGGTAATTTTGTGTGTAGTCCCTAACCTGTCATTAAAGTGAATTGAAATAACACACAAATATAAGATAACAGGAAATCTGGGTATGAAATAGTGGCTTTAAACTTTATTTTTCAGAAATAAGAGTCTTTTCATATTGATGTTTTCTCACTGTTTTTTTTTTTTCTTTCTGCTTGTCTGTTAGTGAGCAGGTTGTTGAACAATGGAAATTTTCTGTCTGAAATGCAGGAATTCTCTGAGAATTCTAGTCACTGAGGTTTTTCTTCTACACTGTGAGTTTTAAAGAGTAACTTACCTTGCCGGTGCCTGTTCCATATTAAATTTTATGTGTAACAATTAAATTCCCCTCTGAGCCATCTGGTTTATTGGTTGTTTGAATTTACATTCTTCAACTTGTCCTCCCAATTTACCCATAGTGGGACCAGATTTTCTGGTCGTTTTTCATAAATTCCCTGCATGTAGCCAGTCCAGTAAACTCCCTGATGAGGTGGCTATAATGTGGCTCATACTTTTAAAGTTATATATTCATACATTAGACCTCACAAGGAAACGTGTGTAGCTCTACTTCTGTGCATACAAGTAAATTGGGACATAATCTATTTTCAGAAAAATTACCTTGCTGGAAACTGAGTTTATTCTTAAATTAGTCCCTTTTTTCTTTTTGTTATAATGGTAGTCTCATAAGAATTCTGTTACATATGCTGTAGAGTTCTTTTTTCTTCTTCTTTTCTTTTTCTTCTTTTTTTTTTTTTAGGAGTCTCACTCTGTCACTAGGTGCCAGGCTGGAGTGCAGTGGTGCAATTTCATCTCACTGCAACCGCTGCCTCTGGGTTAAGCAGTTCTCCGCCTCAACCTCCCAAGTAATTGGGATTGCAGGTGCATGCCACCACGCCCAGCTAATTTTTTGTATTTTTAGTAGAGACGAGGTTTCACCATCTTGGCCAGGCTGGTTTTGAACTCCTGACCTTGTGATCTACTTGCCTCAGTCTCCCAAAGTACTGGGATTACAGGCGTGAGCCACTGTGCCTGTTGAGGTTCTTAATTTATACTTGATATGGGAAGATAACCTCTTCTGTATATAGTCATTAAAAAATTCATTTTAAATAAATGAAAAGAAAGAAATTACATTTCCCCCAAGCTATTATTTTAGAAGGTTGGTTAGGTCATCAAATTGAGGGAAACTATCCAAGTTCAAAAACCAAACTGCTCTCTTGTTGAAATGCTTATAATTTCTTATTCTTTATACATTTGAGCTGTGTAATAGAATATGCAGCCTAAGTAATACATCAATTCAGTAAAAAGGAGACGTAACCAGACTTTCATGTTAGTAAAACTGGTTGAGAGTTTAATATTTCATTAAATATAATTTCTGGTATTTATTTTTGTAATGTAATATAAGTACCACCAACAGCAAATCAGGCTCATCTTACATAATTTATAGTCTTTACCTGGGTTATATTTTAATGGATTGTTTTATCAACTTTTTAAAACATTTTAAAAAGAAGAATCACTTTTCAGAAAGTGTTTTAAAAATGTCACTCAAATGTGCAGACTTAGCAGAATTAATAATTTTGAAATCTGCATATTTTTTCTAAGCACTTAGTAAAGTATATTATGTATATATAATACCTATATTTCATATCTGCATATTTCATGCAGATATGAAATACGTATATACTAAAGCCCTTCAAGAAATAATTACTAAACACCACAAGTGCTTGTCACTGTGCTAGTTGCTAAGTCTACATTGGTAAATGATATAAACAAAAGTCTTTTTCCTCTTGGAACTTCATGCTAGTGAAAGGGATACAGAAAATAAGCAATAAGTAGAATAAAACAATGTATACAGTATTTTAGAAGCATAAATTTTATTTATTATATAGAAACAGATAAGAGAGATTGAGCATTCCAGGGTAGGAGTGGGTTTTCTGTTTCAGCTGGGCCTGGAGAGTCATGGTAGATCCATGACATAGAAGACTGAGTCTTGTAAATAATGGGGGAAGAATGTTCCAGGCAGAGCAAAAGAAAACCAATAACAAGGTTTGAAGGAGGGCAGTGCGTCTAGAGTAGAGGTGGTCCGGCAATGGAGAGAGACATAGTGAATAAGAATAGAGAAATAAAGAAAGGACACAAGTCATCAATGACTTTGTAGGACTTTGTAGGCCTTTGTAAGGCGTTTGGGTTTTACTATTAACAAAAATAAGTACCATAATTTTTACTTAGGTTTTAATAATGTGCCTCATGCTTTTTGTTCCAATCCCTACCTCTTTCATGAAGTAATTGTATTAATTCTTCATTGAATATGTTTCTCTTTTTCATTTTTATTATTTCATTATTTAAAAATTTTATGACTTTATTGATGTACAATTGACAAATAATAGACCACATGTATTTAAAATGCCAAATTCATTAACTTTTGACATATGTGTATGCCATGGACCATAAATGCAATCAATGTAATGACATTTCTACCATCTCCAAAAGTTTCCTCTTGACTCCTCGTATTCCATTACGCCCTTCTCACTGTCTGCAGGGAAACCCTGAGCTGCTTTCTTTGTCATTACAGATTACTTTGCATGTTCTAGAGCTTTACATAAATGGAATGGTATAGTAAATACTCTATTTTTGGTCTGTTTTCTTTCCTTAAGGAAGAAATAAATTTTGAGACTTATCCAGGTTGTTGCATGTATCATTAGTTCATTGCTTTTTATTGCTAAGTACTATTCCATTGTGTGATTAGACCGTATTTTGGTTATCTATTCAATCGTTGAAAGACATATGGGCTATTTCCACTTTTGGCTATTATAAATAAAGCTTCTCTGGGCATTGGTATATAAGTCTTTGTATGAACATGTTTTCTTTTATCTTTTAAAAATGGAATGGCTGCGTCATATGTTAGTTGTGTGTTTAATATTATAAGACTTTGCTAAGCTATTTTCCAAAGTAGAGTGCCAACTTACATTCCCACTGGCAACATGTGAAAGTTCCAGTTGCTCCACATTTTTGCCAAAATTTTGTATGTTGATGTTCTATTTATATTATCTTTATTTTTTCTATCTTTATTGAGATACAGTTGACAAAAATTACATATGTTTAAAGTATACAATATGTTTTGCTACAAGTATACCTTGTGAAATGATTATCACAATCCAGCCAATTAACATATTCATTATTTCAAATAGTTATTATTTTGTGTGTATGATGAGAAAATTTGAATATACTCTCTTAGAAAATTTCAAGTACACAAAACAGTATTACTAACTATGGTAACCATACTGTATAGATCTCTAAAACATTTCTTTGCATAACCAAAAGGAGTACACTTTTTTTTTTACCCTTTGACCAACATCTCTCCATTTCCTTCATTCTACTTCTGCCTGTCCCCTGGCAACCATCATTCTACTCTCTGTTTCTATGAGTTCAACTTTTTTAGATTCAACATATAGGTGAGATCATGTAATATCTGTCATTCTGTGCTTGGCCTATTTCACTTCACATAAAGCCCTCCATATCCATCTATGTTGTCTCAAAGGGAAAAATTTTCCTCTGTTTTAAGGATGAGTAATATTTTATAGTATATATACACCACATTTTCTGTATCCATTCATCCACTGATGAACACTTAATTTCCTATCTTGACAATTATGAATAACACTGTAATAAATATGGGATTGCAGATGTTACTCTGACATACTAATTTTATTTCTTTTGGGCATATACTCAGAAGTAAGATTTCTGGACCATATGAGAGTTCTACTCTTATTATTTTGAGAGACCTCCATACTATTTTTTATAATGCCTATATCAATTTACATTACCATTGACAGTGTACAAGGGTTCCCTTATCTCCACATCTTTGCCAACACTTGCTATAATGTCTTTTTGATGATAGCCATTCTAACATACATTAAGTGATATATATTATTGTGGTTTTGATTTGTTTTTTCCTAATAATTAGTGACACTTAGTGTTTTTTATAGACCTGTTGGTCATCTGTATGTCTTCCATTAATAAGTGTCTAGTCAGGTCTTTGTTCAGTTTCAGTGGGATTGTTTCCTTGCAATTGAGTTTAGTTCTTTATATACTATGGATTTTAACCTTTTACTTGATATATACTTTACAAATATTTTCTTCCATCCATAGGTAATTTGTGCCATCTATTAATTATTTCTATGGAGCACAAAAGATTTTCTAGTTTCATGTAATCTCATTTGGCTATTTTTGCTTTACTACCCGTCCTTTTGGTGTCATATCTAATAAGTCAGTTTACCCAAACCAATATCAAGAAGCATTTCCCCTATGCTTTCTTCTAATAGCTTTTAGTTTCAGGTTTTAAATTTAAGTCTTTAAATCATTTTGAGAAGATTTTAAAAAATATTTATAAGATAGAGTCCAATATAATGCTTCTATACATGGATATTCAGTTTTCTCAACATCATTTATTGAAGAGACTGTCTTTTCTCCTGTTGTGTATTATTGGCAACTTTGTGGAAAATCAATTGGCTGCAAATGCATGAATTTATTTCTGTGCTCTCTGTTCCATTCATTTGTTCCATGTCTGTTTTTATGCCAGTACCATACTGTTTTGCTTACTATAGCTTTGTAGCATATTGAAATCAGGTAGTGCAATACCTTCAGCTTTGTTCTTCTTGCTCCAGATTGTATTTCTGTGCAAAATGCCATGGAGGTTTTGATAGGAATTGCTTTTAATTTTGTAGATAACTTTACGTAATAAGAAAAATGTTGATTTTGTAATTCCTAAACACTTTCCATTTAGAGTTCTAGTTTGAGATTTCTTCAACTCTTTTCATCAAAGTTTTATTGTTTTCAGTGTATGGCTCTTTCACCTCCTTGGTTAAATTTATTCCTAAATATTTTGTACTCTTTGATGCTAATAAAAAGAGATTTGGTTCCTTAATTTGTTTTTGGGATGTATATTGTTAGTATATCAAAACACTTTTTCTTTTTTGTATTTTGGTTTTGTATTTTGCCAATTTACCTAATTCATTTATTAGCTCCAATAATTTTTTATGATGGAGTCTTTACTTTTTTTGTATGGAAACAAATAATATAGACTCAAAGCATCAACTTTGATCATTCTTCATATTATTTTGTCATTATTACTATTGTCATTATTACTATTTCTAGTTCTAAGTCTAACATGCAATTATTGACCATACAGTCTGCTCATATTTTTTCCTATTTCAGTGTTTGTTTTTTCTTAATTATGTGTATGACCTCTGCTGCATATAGTCTAGATATGAATCATTTTTAGTCAAAATTTTGTCATAACCTTCTTCTGGTCTCATGTCTTTAAATTAGTTTATGGTATCATTTGTAACATTTCAATCTTTTTGTTAGATTGACTTTCATTATCCCAACATAGTTAAACAGTTTTAAAATATATTTTTATATCTTGTTTTAAATATTCTTTCTATTCTGAGGTTAAAAAAAATAAAACAAGCTGTCGACATGTTAATAAAGTATTGATTTTTTTCCTCCTCTCTCCCAGACACTGAAAGTTTTGAATTTTCTTCCTCATTTAGGCCATGAAGAGTTTATCTAACTTTTTATTTCTTTTCCA